AGTAGTTTTTATCTTTAGATCACAAAATTCTTCTATGGTAGAAGCAATTTGTATAAATTTAGGTGAAGTTGACCTCAGCAGTTTCTTTACCACCTTTTCTTCTTCCACAATATTGCCTAGACCCCTGAGTTTACTTACAATGATTTGAAGCCTGCTTGAGAAATCATCAACAGTGTCTTTATCATTCATCTTCATTGACTCAAACTCTCTCCATAGTGTTTGAGTTCTAACTTCTTTTACTTTTTCTGCTCCCAGATTCATTGTCTTTAACATATACCAAACTTCTTTGGCAGTTCTTTGTGCACCCAATTGAAGAAGTGTATCCTCACTAATGCCTTGATAGATAGCAGCCAACGCCATTTTGTCTCTTCTTCTCTCTATTGGTTCGTTGGATTGCACAGCTTCCCACACTCCTTGGGCCACCATGAATACTTCCATCTTGATGGCCCAAGCTGCATAGTTGCTCCTACTCAGCATTGGATATCTCAGTGTGACAGCCCCCTCCTTGTCTTGTGACTTCACATTGTCTTCTTCATTATGGGTGTGCATATTGTCTCCTTGTCCTTCACCCGCTGATGAGGATGAACTTGAGGCCATGACAATTTGATCGTCCCAACCGTGGCGCTCTGATACCAAGTGTTGTAATATGTAATTAAAAACAATCTTCCAAAGTACTATAAACGATCATTGTTTGAACACTGCATATGCATATGCGTGTGATGAGGCCAAGAACATGAACACAATCTTTTCTTTTCTTTTTAAATGGAGGAAAAAACTTTCTTAGTAGCACAGCCTACCCCTTACACGTTTCTTTATACTACTAAGGAGTGGGGTGAGGCAGTTACACCAAGTAGAGCTAAAAAACCTCCCACTACATCTAAACATAACTTCCATGCATACATACGTGAAAACAAAAACAAAAAAATAAACTAATTACATCAAGAGAAAGAATAACAAAATAGAAACAAGTTTATAAAACTAATACGCGATGCCAGAGTGATCGATTCATGTCAGCGATTCACATTCGAAGGACTTGGCTCCTTTTGGGAGATCTAGAACTCCATCACTCATGGGTATATTCACGCACCTATGTGCACTTAAGTTCGAGCTGGTTTATACAACCGTCACCACCAGAGCGCCCATGGTCGGAGCAACAACAAACAAAGTTGTTATCTAGTTCGCAGGTGGCTGCCGGTAAACAACTACTCAGTGACATGGTATTGAGAATAGCAAAGGAAGAAAAGATCGAAAAACTACAATTCAATCTTCGAGGTGTGAAATGTTTCAGGTGGCTGCTCTTTGGCCTTCTCCTGAAATGTCGGAAGAACTAATCTACACTATTGTTGCGGGTGCATGAGATTGATTGAATTGTTATCTACTTCTGTTTCTAGCATAAGACTTTAAGTAGAAATGGGAGAATTGTAAGATGTTGAAACATAATTGAGAAAAAGACCTACAACTACACACAATCACACGCACCAGAATTGAACACTAGTACTTGGTAATAATAATTCATGTAATTATTACCAGAAAATAATAATGAAGATATCAAAATCTTTCACTTATTTTTACCTTCTTCTCGTCTATAGCTGCTAATTTCATTTCACTTCAATTGACGCATATCTATAATGAGATGAGACGAAGCAATCTCAACAATCGGAGTAAAGCATATTTAAAGTATAAAAAAAAACAGGAAGCGGTGTTTAAAATTCACTAAATAGGAATCATAATTTGTGATTGAACAGATACATCCATGGAGGGGTTCAAGCCTGGTCACTGGACAACCGCTATCGGTCACCAAACCGCCGTTGTTTTGTCGAAATGCCGCTGAATTCCCTAATAAAGTAGGGCGGGGGAATTAATTATATTAAGAGTAAAAATGTACTAATTATGAAGAACATAAAAACTCAACTCACATTTAGGAACCTTGACCATGCACATCAAATCTTGACCCCTTTCTATCACAGTATCACACACGTGCCTGGAGGCATAGATACATCAAATCTTATAGAAAGAGATGTGCTTGGAGGCTTACACATCAAATATTAGGAGTTTTTGCCAGAGTATTACGGAGTACTAATAAATGGACAATGAATTAAAAAAAATGACGTGTTTTCTTAATTTCCAAAAATGTGCCTAATAAGCAGTAAGTTTACTATTTTTTTTTCATTTACCCCAGTGCCACAAAGGCTCCCACCTACGGTGGGGTAAGGGGGGTCGGATGTACGCAGTCTTACCCCTGTACTTAAGCACAGAGAGACTGTTTCCGGATGATCCATAGTGAAAATCCCATCCAAAATTGCATGGACTGACTGTTGCTTCATAACAAAGGAGCGCAGACAATTTAGTGGGCCATTTTGCTTTATTCCATCATAATCTCAAGCCAAAAAATAATGAATCTTTGGCTCCATTGCAAATGAATCTCAAGCCAAAAAATAATGAATCAAAGCAGTAAGTTTACTATATGTCAAAAAAAATAGTAAGCTTACTAATTTAGCGATAGTAACATGACATACTACAGTGACAGACCCAATGATATTAAACATCACTTCCGATCGGTGGCTGCCACCGACAAGAAATCGTCGCCCGCCATGGTGACACTGGCTACAGTGATACCGCTCATAGTAACAAGTGGCACTGACTGACAAGTGACTACAGTCACAGTTACACAATGACTCCAGCAGGCTATAGTGACCCACCTGGTTGATGCCGACCCGTTTGGGACCGCCCCCTGCTCAGCCCCCTGCACCCTCCCCATCAGCCAACCTACCCAACCTTCCACAAATTCAGCCAATTAAGCTAGAAAATAACTTCAATCTTACATATTTTGAATATCATAAAATTTGATTGGTAAAATCTGCAAGTCTAATAATAATACACTGAAACGTGTAAAGATTGTCTGGTAAGAGAATGCTTACAGCTGGCTAATTGAACTGAGGATAACTGAATTGATCCCTTTTGTATTGGAATGCGTAAGGAAGCCACACATGTTCCACCTGACATCTTCTATGCACAACTGCCTAGGTGACGTAAGCCCTCGACAATTGACGCGTGGGTGATGTGATCACAATAGTTATGCGAATTTTTAGTGCTAAAATGACTAAGTCCATAATCTCCCTCGAGGTCCTGAAATCTGCGGAGTTTAGCTCGGGAGCAGTGTTTTTGCTTAGGAAGAGGAGGGTGGCCTCAGCTCATTTATGAGACGCAATAATGTTCCTTCAACTCTTTGACTTCATGAGGCGCTAGTTGAACTCAAGCTTGACTATAGTGCAGGACCTTGGCGTCGACCATGGTGGGCAGTGAGCTCGGTCTCAGATGCAGTTTTTGACTCATCTCAATGATCTGGGAACTGATTTCTAAATCAACCTTTGCGGGATTGGGCTTGGCCTCAACAGATTTAGACTTATCTTGGTGATATGGAAACTGACTACGGAACCGACCTCGGTGGAATCGGGCTCAGGCTCGAGCTCAGTTGCAGACTTAGACTTACAAATTCTTGGGATCCATTATCTCTAGAGTTCAACATGTCTTATACGATGTCGACAAATATGATAATCATCGTCATTTTTACTGAGTTTTTATTGGATCTGATTTTTTGTTGAATGTAAATGGACTCGAGTAACAAATGAAGTTGAGTTTAACTCGCTTTAGAATGATCATCTAAAACTGCTACAAATTTTTTATCTTATACGACGTACTTATGGTTTCAATGTCTTATTAGAATGATTAGATTATGGTCTTGTTTAATTATTTGTTTGGCACTAAGAGTTTGTCCGCCCGATTTGAATTGAATGAGGGTGTTAAATAGCACCATTATATTAAATGTATATGCTACGAGCTCAATGTCTTATACTACCTCCGTCTCTATTTAAAAGTGCCTCTTTGATTTACACACAATTTAACAAAATGACACTGTTTGGACACTGTTTGTAGTGTTGGATTCGGTTCGGGCCACCCGGCCCGTGACCCGGCCCGGCCAGCTACTGTGCGGACCCGGGACCGGCCCGGTCGGGCGGTCCGGGACCGGGTGTAGACCCGAACCGGCGGGGAGGGGCGGGGCGGGTACCGGGTACGGTTCCTGAAAAAGTTGACCCAACCCGGCCGGGTCGGGCCCGGGTCCGGGTCCAAAGGTCCAATTCAAAAAAAAAAAATTGGGCCCCAAACTAGCCGTTATGGCCTTGGGAGGTGGGCTGGGAACAACCCAAACGGCTATATAGCCGTTGGGTGGGGTGCAGGGGGGTCCGGGGGTGGGGGGTTGGGGGTGGGGTAAAAAAACCTATAAATACTCCTAAATCCTAATCTTAAACATTTTTTCATCTCTTCTCCAATTCTTCCTAAATACTATTCTTAACTCTCTTATTCTCCAATATATTATATTTATTATTTATATATCTACTTTATAGTTTATACTTAAGAAGTTAAGATGGAAAATCAAGATGTCATTATACGGTATAATTTTGATAAGCAGAAGGACCCGAAGACCGGGATGTGGTACGCAACTTGCAACTGGTGCGGGAAAAAATGTAGCATGTGGTTTCAGGCGGATACGGGATGGCAATGAAGCATATGAAGTCATGTGACAAAGCCAAAGGATCGGGAGGTGCGGGAAGTTCCGATTGATTACAATTTTCAAAATATTTGTCTCTTAAAGTTTGTTTTAATTTTCAAATGTAGTTCGTATTTCATTTCAAATAAATGCACTTGAAGTTTGTTTTTAATACTTGTATAAAACTATAAACTATAAAATATAAATTATAAAAAAAACTTTAACCGGCCCGGCCCGGCCTGACCCGGCGGGTGGCCCGACCCGTGACCCGGGCGGGTGGCCCGGCCCGAACCGGACCCGTCCAACCCTCGGGCCGGTCCCGGGCCCATGTCATACAAACCGGCAGCCCGACAGGGCCTAGGCCCGGCCCGAGTCCACACCTAACTGTTTGACACTATTTGGAACTATTTTGCACTATTTTGTTTACCAAATAAGGAAATGGAACATTTTTAAGAAACAGACCGAAAAGGAAAGTGGGATGATTATTTAGGGACGGAGTGAGTATATACGTACTATGTAACTATATAAGTATGAAGTCAAACTATATCTTTATTCATTATGTAAATGCTGTCTAAGTGTCAAGTATAACACTGACATTACTACAGAAATCAGAATTCTCTTTACCAGTTACATCAACTTCTTGCTAAATCAGTCTGAGAATTCTTGCTGCCGAGTTAGAACTTCAACTTTAAATGCATGCCGCTTCTTCACACTACAATGGATCAGATCTTATTGCGCACATAGGCTAGAACAAACACTGCCAGCGCTCCAACGGAAACACCAAGCAATGGAGCTGCAGGGACTAGTTTACGGGAAGCAACCAGACGTATAGCTGTAAAAGTAACACCAATGAAATTGTAACCTTGTAATTTTAAGACAGGCTATGGTTAAAGCTGTAGAGAAAACAGGTTCATTAGACATTAGGTTAGAGAGGCTAATGGATCAGATTCAATCTTACAAAATTATTGCAAATAGGAGTAACACGCAAGTCATGTGAACATTAGGTTTTCAAGAAAAAAACATAGTACTGATGTTGAGGGTACCTTGTATTTACTCATATTTAGAGAAATTTTCCCCTGATGATTATTTTTGGCCTAAAAGCATTATGACCCAATTGAGTAATTGAAATCCAACTCTGACTATATATGGAGCAAATGGAAATACATACCAAATACAGAGGAAAAGAGGAGTGCTGATCCAAATGCTAAGGCGTCCCCTAATTCTTGGGTCTCAGATGCTTGCATGAGGAAGTAAGCCTGTAAGGGAATCATTTTCAGTTCTAAGCGAACACACATAGCTTCTTGTTTGATGACTATGATCTTTAATACTCCGTATCACAATTTGGAAAAAAAAACATACTTTGTATGTGTTAAGACATTTTTATAGGGAAATGATTCAAAAGAACAAAAATTCGATGTTTTAAGTCATCCATTTGTGTAAGGACTAAGGACAAGAGCCAACATCAACTGTCATAATACCTGTGTTTGTTATCATAATTGGCTACTCTTACTCTCTATGACAGTGAATTATAAATTTGAAACATTTCATTATACAAAGTACGGTAAATATAACGAATGCATTTTATCCATTTACTTTCCAGATCTTGAAATTTAACCCCGAGAGTGATACTTGACATCTCAAGAGCACATAACCCAATTCATGTTTTTCTCCTAACGAAGCAAAATTGTAGACATTTCGTATTTCCACTTATTGGTCTAATTAAAACAAGCACTGAACTCAGCTGGGCACAGGATTATTGGAGCCATAGCTAGCCAGACCTAAAATCTAATTTCTTTTCAATACACCAATCAACTATTCTACAAAGATGACAGAGTAATAAGACCAATGCTAAAGCACGAGCAACAGAACAATTAAAAATGGTGAAATTCAAACCAATAATCCGTACTTTTGGTGGTTCTATAATAATAATCTCTACTGAAAAAGTCAATACAAATAATTCAAACTCGTAAATGCGTCTACATAGATAGATTAAACCTTCATAGATAGATTATTATCCTTCAAAAAAATAATTATAGTAATGATATAAAAAACATTAAACTCAAATTCATGACAATGGTGAACAAAGTCAACAATGTATCCTTATATATTAAATATCAAAAAGATTAATCTAATCTATCTATGTAGACGTGTTTATGAGTATGAATTATTTATATAAATATCTTCGGTAGGGATTATTATTGTAGAACCGCTAAAAGTATGGATTATTGGTATGAATTTCGCCATTAAAAATAGAAACATCATCTGATTAGAATCGATGTTATCATTGTTACTAAATTCCATGGATAAATTTTCTTAGGGTAAGTTTTGATGGAGGGTATAAGAGGGGTTTAGAGGGGGAGGCTTAGGAGGTTTAGTGTATATCTTCCTTCATACTTCGTATATATGGAATGTGTCTAAAAATGAATAAATGGCTGTTCAAATATTTCTTATCACCCATTATTTCAAATTCTTAATTTTTTTAAATAAAATCTCAATACATTCAGCCCTCCAAAACCCTACCCCCAAAATGACCCTTAACCAGAGTTCAGTTACTGCTATCAACCCATTTCATATCTCATCTTAAATTGAACTCTACTCATCTACTAAACATACCTCAAGCTAACAAAAAACATTAATAATTTGTTCAAAATCAGATCTCCCGACATTTCAAAAGAAAATACAACAATAACAACAACATCCAAGCCTTAATTCAAAAAGATATCAAAAGAAAATAAACTAAAATTTAAAGCTTTTAGTTGAAACAAGACTTAACTGTACCCATAAGTGTGCCGCCAGTTAATCCACCTATAAGTGAACCCTTACTTCCAGATCTTGCATCTGCAGAGCAAGAACGCATTTTTAGGGGGTTTCAAATATAATTACATACATATTCAGAACATGAGCAGGAAAATATGCACATTCCAAACGAGAAGAGAAACAAAAATTACATGCAAAGAGGCCGCCGCCAAGCAATAGAGTTCCATAAGCTGCAGACGTGAGAGGTGCAAGGTCTGTTGTTAGCTGAGAGTTACAGCGAAGACCGGATGGCCGTCTGCATTTCTGGGTCGGAAATGTTAGCTTATCGGAGACGATAATGCTAGAAGAAAAGCCAAATCGAGCAGGTCTTGTGGGAAGCGGCGTGAAATGTGGCGTTCTACTGAAGATGGAGCTGACATTGCTGCAACAACCCATCATCGTCTCCCCAGCTCCACTGTAGTAAACGATAGAACCCCAATGACAGTTTCGGATCTACGAAGTATAGGATTTGTTTGTTTGTTTTGGACAAATTATATGAGTGCGGCCAGAGGAAAAAACTTTTTTGGACCCATTCTTTAAAGCATTTTGGACAATTGAGGGCGATATTTATAATCTCAGAAATAATGTCTGAAATTTTAATTTCCTGAATAACTGAAGGATCATATATCAGATTTTCCCTTTTTTAAATTTGGTTCAATTTTAGTCCTTTTTGAACAACATATGATTTTTAATTTTTTTAAATTATACTATCGTATATGCAATATTAGTGACATGAAAAATCACAAAAATTTATGATTTTAATATATATTTTAGATTAGACTTGTTATGATGAGAATGAAATTTCAATTGCGGATATTGGTGACATATGAAAGCTAATAAAATGTTATGGATTTCGATATATTCCTTATAAGAGTAATCAAATTATAACCAATTAAAGCAAAATAAAATTATAATATGTAGGTCCCATCTTTGACTTGGCCATTTGGCTGCTTTTCTTTGAACTAGAAAGCACCTTATGTAGACTCTAGGCGACGAAAGATCGTAGCCGTTCAGTTGTTATACCGTATGACCGCTATACGGTGAGCAACGTATACCGACATACGGTTTTAGGCATTTTGGAAGCACCGTATACATCAAACATGTATTAACATATTATTTATTTATTTCTCTTATTGTTAAAAACTATAAAAAATTTATTTGGTTTTTATAAAATTTATATCAAAATTTTTTATTTTTCATGATCTTTCAAATAAGACCAATATTGCCTATGTAATTTTAACATATTATCGAACTATTATATTAACCTATGTAAAATATGTAATTTTACGTGTAGAAATATGTAAGCCACGTCCAGTGAGGCCAAATGCAACTCGTGTGTATAAATATGTAACTCTACATGTAAAACTATGTAACCACTACAAAAAAATTCGTCTGTAGTCACGGACCGTAGTCACGGATTTGGTCCGTGACTAGTTAGTCACGGTTCTAATCACGGTTTAGTCACGGAACCGTTAAAAAACAAGTAGTCACGGATTTGTCCGTGACTACGTCCGTGACTATAGGTAGTGACGGACCTAGTCCGTGACTAAAGTGTTCCGGCCAACCCATTTACGTGTAAAAATATGTAACTCGCGTTCAGGCAAGTCAAATACAACTCGTGTGTATAAATATGTAACTTTACGTGTAAAAATATGTAACTTTACGTCTAAAAATATGTAACTCGCGTTCAGGCAAGCCAAATGCAACTCGTGTGTATAAATATGTAATTTAACGTGTAAAAATATGTAACTTTACGTATAAAAATATGTAACTCACATGTATAAAAACATAATACAGTAAATTTTTTATATACATAATTTTAAGATAAATTGTGATTTACACAATTATTTTTCCGTATTAAATTTAGTTCGATTTTCCTTATAATCCAATACTCATTAATATAATACTTCGATAATTTCTTAAAATTACATAAGCAATATTGGTCTCATTTGAAATATCACGAAAAATAAAAAATGTTGATATAAATTTTATAAAAATCGGATCAAAAATAGAAAAGTTATTACCATTTTTTAACAACAAAAACAAAAAATAAAAAATAAAAGTCCGTATACCGGTATATGGTGCACACTGTATACCGGTCATACGGTATAATTTGTGCTTTGCGTTGACGTCTTTTATGTTCACGTAAATCGTCACTTGAAGTTTCGGCTCTGTTTAATTAGGGTCTCATTTAGCAGTATTTTGAGAATAGTTTTTAATTCAATCTTATTTTCATAATTATTTATTTAATTACCATTAAGTCAGGGAAAAACTCTATTATATATCAATGGTAATATTCAAAAAATTGTTGAGATGAGTTTTTTATATAGTCTATAGGATATTACACCTTATACACTATTCTTATTCCTTCACAGATAGAAAACTTAAATATTAACTTTATCCATATAGAATACTAAATCGTCCCCTTCGGTACAGATTTTCCCTGCATTTCGACAGAGACAAAACAATCACTCAACATATTTTTTACATACCTTGTCAGTAAAACATTAAATAAATTAATATAAGTAATGTTATTTTTAAAAAAAATTAAATAATTTTGAAATATAAATGCACATTCCATGATAAAAAAACTGAAATTCCATTGATTTCTTTTTACTTTTTCAACTAATAAAAAATAAAATGAGTTCAAGTAAAGTTCAATTATTTGTGGAGGTATCATAGATTAAAATTTCATGTTTTATGTTGTCTGTCTGACAAACTCCAGTAGGATGGAAAATATCTTAAAACTATCTGAACTTGCATACATTGTTTTGGTAATATTGGTTGATCGAGTCACCGTAAAATTGAGATTTTGTAGTCTTTAATCTCATTTCACCGTAAATTTTTATTCATTCATTTAATTTCTTGTCTAAAAATATTATGGCATCCTACGAGATTGTATGTACAATAGATTTTTTTTGGAGAACTTGAAAAGATAGATTGTACATTACTGCATGAAAAGAAAAACACTTTAATTTAAAAACAATTGAAAATACAAAACTACATATGCAAAATAAATCTAAAAGTTAAACAAAAATCAAATAGAAATTAATTTATGAAAAAATCTTGATCTAGTGAGGCTACAACGTATAACTATTTAGTAAGCATGCTAAGATGTTTTTACTTTGACTGGAATTTTCTAGTCTAGTTTGGTCTATTAACGTTTTGGTCTTTGTGTATTTTATAACTATTCAATTCTAGTTTATTCTGATCTGATCTAGTCTGATCTGATCTAATCTAATTAATCCAATCTGGGCTGAATGCGGTCCAAGTAAAAACATACTAAGAAGTAAGGACGTGAGCAGTAACACTTTTGCCACAATCTATTTTCTAAAATATTCTCATCAATTTTGATTAAGCACACTTTAGGCCAGAGCGCAACAAACAAATACTAATTAAGGGGTTTTTCCTTCAATGTTGTCGAATTAAAGTTGATTCCCAAAAATGTGACCATTTCTTAAAAAGGACAAAAAATGTGACTAAAAAAGTCACATAAATGGAAAAGTATTACTCCCTCCGTCTCATAAAATAAGTCCTATTTTCCTTTTTGGGCCGTCCCAAAAAATTGTTCCAATTTCCCTTTTTGGAAAGTTTTGTGTGGCTAACATTCATTTACCTTTTTCTTACTCAAACACAACCATACATTTCCACTTTATTCTCACTTTCTTAAACTCCGATCCAAGTCAAAGTGAGACTCATTTTCCGGGACGGAGGGAGTATATCATTGTATTTTTATGTCACTGCAAGATTATTATGTCACTATTCAAATGTCACTTTGACCACCACCTATGTCATTGTGCCGCCGCTCGTGTCACTGTGCCGCCGCTTGTGTCACTGCCGCCGCCACCGGTGCCACTGACACCGTGAAACATGTCACTATGATCCTTAGAAAATTTTCCGGTGACTTTTTTGGCGACCTTTTCAGGCAAAACGTGAATTTTAACCAAATTTGCACCGCTATCCGCCGTCATGCCTCCGATGTCCCAAATACTCGGGCCACCATGGCTGCACACTCTCCGTCCACCGCAGTCGCACACTCCGGCCAGTGCCACCACCCCTGTGACACTTCAAAAATTTAAATAAAAATAAAAATAATTTTTAATCAGATAAAATATTACGAAAATAACAATTTTATAATTAATTAAGTCAGACAAAAATTCAACAGTGGTAACGTGCCAATCAGATAAAAATTTCAAAATTTATGATGTTTTAGTCAGATAAAAATATTTCAGTAATAAGAACAGCATTTTAGTAAACAAGTGAACCAGACAGAAAATTTCCAAGTTTACGACTTTTAATCAGATAAAAATGATCTGATAATAAAAGTAACGTTTTCGTATAAAAATTATTTTATAAAACTATTTTAAGTTGTTTAGTGTACAAAGTACAAACTAAAATACTCCTAATACGTATAATATAAATACACTTATAACCTACATACGTTATACGTAGTAATATAATTAAACTAAAATTACCTACGTACGTATTATACTGCTATTATACTACGTAACTACGTAATAATATAGAATTATACTCCTACATAACTACGTAATAATATATACCTTCGAACCCTAAACCCTCCTCGCCGCCTACATATACGTAACTACATACGTATACGAAGTATATTCTAATTTTAATAACAATAATAGAATAATACATAGGATTTAATTCGAGCCCTAGGCGGACACTATATATACGTATATATATACTATGACCGATGATCAGCTGGAAGCAACCAAAACAAACCACAAGCCTAGCAGCATATTAACCTACGACCTGCGCAAACAAAGAAACAAAGTCGGAGTAATTTTAGCACGCCGTAGTGCCGCTTCAAAAGTCCCATGCTGCAGAAATAGAAGAAGCCGGAGACAGAGGATCGAGCGAGGGGCTGCGTTCGCACCGGAGGAAAAAGAAGTCTCCGGACGAGGTTGTCTTCGTCGCTTACCTGGAACATCATCATCACTACCGAAGGCGAAGAAGTCACCGGAGCTCACCAACGGAATCGTCGCCGGAGAAAAAGATACGAAGCTTGCCGGAGAGGACGGGTCCGGCCGCCGCTCGCCTGAAACGCTGGAGATCATCATTACTGTCGTCGCTGAAGAGGGAGTCTGCTTCTACTCGTCACTGGAGGAGACGTGTTGTGCGGCTTCCCAAGAGTCGTGGGGTCATGGAGTTCTTGATCGCCGGAGAATCATGTGTGGTCTTTACCGAAGGAGGAAGACGCCAAGGCAGGTTTTTCAACTACGCCGCCACCCGAGCTGAACTGCTGTTGCCGCCGGACAGCACCACCTGCGCACGAAGGCTGACGACGCACGCCAGAAAGAAGGAGGAGGATTACCGTTTTTTTTCTCTGCGTCGAAATACCGATGACGAGGAGTGTACGGTACGTACGCATGCTATCCTTCTTTTCTCAAGCTCATTGGGCTGGATTCTATTTTGGGCATGTTATTATTTTGGGCCAGTTCGGCCCAGTTGCAATAAAAATTAAA